AAACTTTGTCTCGTCTGCCTCTGCTCATTACTCTTTTATACATTTTTTTGACAACCTAGTATATCAACAGGGTACTGCTGACAAGCATAAGTCTTTTTAAATATGTTGCGACAGCACAGCACCCAAGCTAGCATTAGCCCCAATGATGCTCAAAATACTAATTGTGATACAACAAAGCCCAGCAATGCTTTGTAGGTGGTGCCATGGGGCCACACAGGTTTTGTTGTGTGCTTGTACCTAGATTTGTGCACACTTGAACAACAGTGATTCCCACAATTGGCATTCTCCTTTTCAATACTTCCTTTGTTACTACCTTTGTCCTTAGTCATATCATAGAGCATACCACATTGTTACCATTTCATCTTCCCTTTTGTCTGGGCTAGATGAAAGGCCAGTTGCCGCAGTAGTTGCCCACCTCTATGTGTACGATAGGTACATGGAAACCAGGTCATCAATTTAGGCCAAATAATAATGCTAGTGGTTCTAGATCAGTAGTTACCGGACACATTTCTGGTCATAGACGTTTCTTCACTTCACCAATCTTTACTAAGTAGTTATAATCAAACAAATCAGACATGAAGCCCACATGGTCCAGTCAAGTCCCTGCATGTTGTTCTGACAACCCTGCGGGTTTAGCTTGTGTGTATCTTTGAGAATCCACTTTGTCGGTTCACGTAAGTGCTTCAGGTGTGTCCTTGGAGAGACGTCCAATACTTCAGGCATTTTGTGTCATCAGAGCTGAGGGATGATGAAGAAGCTTAGCAGGATGGTCTTCACAGGTTGATCCTTCGGTGAAGATCTTTGAATTTATCTTGTTTTAACAGCCGGCCATGTGTTTGCTTTTTTGCTCTGCGCTTTGGAGTTGGTCTGACATTTATACGTCCCGCCAGACCTTAGCTGACCCATTATTTCAGCACTTTGATGCTGCTACAAAGCCATGAATTCCCAGCTAGCACAGCCCTCTGGTTTCAGATCCCAAAAAATCCACACAGTCAATAATGTTTATACCCCTTGTAGTTTGTTCTGCAGCTGCGGTTCCATATAAATGGCCCCGACAATTATGAGCTTTTAAAATCCCACATATTCTCTTTTCAAAATGTTTCTTTATCTAATCATTGATATGTCTTGAAACTGTCTCTGTTTCAATGACAAAGTCATTACGTTTCTCCTGTCTCCTTCTTTTTTATCTTTTTCTTCTTCTGGCTTGTGTTATACGTAGCCGGGACGTTCACTTACAAGAGTTGATAGATTTAAGACAGACATCTGAAATCTATACCAGTACCGTGCACATGTGTGCAATACATCTGCTAATGGGCCTGAAGTCATGGGTGAAAGTAGGGAGACGTGGATCAGCAGTTGTCAGTGACACTTGGTGTTATTCAAAGTGTCTGTCAACTGTTTTTGGACATAATTCTAAAGGTTTCAACTCAAGGGGTGAGAAGTTCAGAGTGAAAGGCCTAAAACACTGAAAGAGTCTCTAATGTTGGCAATGAATGTATCAACTATTAGATCAACCTCCTGGCATCTGCACACAGTACCATTAAAGTGAACCATTAAACATCAGCGAGAGCTTGTTTGACCCAAGAGTGTCAAACCTAGAAAAAAAAATGCCTGATCGTCTTAGCCAAGTCTGCAGACAAGGTTTTCATTGGATTAAGTTTTCAGCCAGGATAAGATAAGAGTACTTGACAGAGCCAAGATTACTCAGTGTTTAGAACCAGAAGAACAACATGTTCTACGGCTCTACTGTATCTTTAGACCCATTTGCTTCTTTCGTTATAGTCAAAGCAACATGTTTCTAAGAGAACAGAGCTGCATCTGTCGTTTAAACATAAATCTTACCCAGCCTTATGTTCAAGGTTCTAGGTTCTGGGATTGGACTGCATTCTTCATTTTGTTTGTCCTTTTTAGCTTTAGCAACGTTACAAAAGCAAAAATAGAAATAATAAGAGACAGATTTATATCCCATTCATTGCCAGTCACATGTGAATGGAGCTGATCTGAAGCTTGGACATACTGTATGGAAGCACTGTAACCACTGAACCAGAGCTGTACAGTGTGTCACAGTGGTGGATGTTGAATATAATTACAGACTGTGATTCTCAATCTTGATCTCCATGACCTGGAGTAACCCTGACCTGGATAACACTTTGTCAGCACATCTTTTTTTCTTTCCTCGCCTACTCTGTCATTCATAAAGACAGGAACCAAAGACATTGTATTCAATCTCTATCTTCAATCCCAGGTCCTGGAATAGGCACGTTTTCAAAATTCCACGAAAAAAATGCCTCAACTTCTTGATCGATGTGGTCAAGATAATTAACCAGCCACAGGACTCTTGCTCAAAAAACAGGCGTCTTAACACTCTAGTAACAACAATAAGTGAAGGGCGGCATGTTAGTGTTTGCTTGCTAATAGTGACACGATGTAAGTTTGAATTGCAGGACTTAACAACAAAGGACAAAGCTAGCTGCCAACAGTATTAGGATGATGGCCTGTTTTTTTTTCTATGGAAGAAATTATTTTTTCTTATTTGTGCTTTACACTAGTGTGCCGTGAGAAATTATTAGGTGTGCCGTGAAAATTATCCAATTTCACTAAATTGGGCTGAAAACTATGATTTATTTATTGTATATGATTTTTCTTTGGTCGTCAAAGCATGAAAGTTTTGCTAGGTCGCAGCAGATGGCTATGAAAACTTAAAAAAAAGATAATGCTGTTATGTTTATAAGTGTCTTCAATTCCTGCCACTATATCAGCATTGACTTCAACTAAACAGGCTGAGATTTTACTCAATTATGAGGTCATTTAAACTAGAAGATTATTATATTTCATTACATATACTTTTTGTGAGATTTTTGTTTGTTGGTGAGTCGTGGGGTTTTTCCTGGTGATATATATGTCCAGTGGCTCAAAAAAGGTTGGGAAACACTGCTTTAGTGGTATATACTTCTGGTCTACAAGGACCAAGAGGATTGATCGACAGCTTGCTAACAGTTGTTAGCGTATTCTGGGTGTGCAGTAGGTCTAATTGAACATTCTGCTGGTTATGTAGGTTAATAACACATATATAACACGTACAGCAGCATGTTTAAGAATCTACAGAATTCTTGAACATGAAAAAATGTTGGTGTTGTATTTTTTGATTTGCTTGCTAACAACGAAACATTGCTCTGTTTGTTTTACTGATCAGCTAACTGAGCTAAACCTGGAGCACGTTCTGTTACATTTTTGAGTTGTATTCACAGCTAAGATGAAGGCAGCACTCATAATATATACCAACAAAAAAAATCATTATCTCATTTAAACATATGACATTTTACAAAAAATGTCAAAAGGTTCGTTTCAATAAAATGGATCAGTTAAGTCTAGAGCCACTTTTCAGTCTTTTGGTTTTGGTTCAGTTTCATCATCTCAATCATAATGTTTGGGTCAAGGCTCAGCGCAGACAAACGTCTCCCAAATCATTTGTTAGCAGCTGTGGCTAAAATCCGCCCTTCAATTATTGTGGCACCGAGGAGGAAGGAGCAAGTTCTGGCTTTACGCTTTGACAAGCAGATTGCTAGGTCTCCGAGACTGGCCGTGTGTGTATGCATGTGTGTGTGTGTGTGTTGTGTACATCTCTTTACTAAAGGTCAGGGAGTTTTTTTGGATGTGAAAGAGAGATTTAAAGAAAAAAGTATAAAGGAGAGTGGGTAAGCGATCGTGTGAGTGTGCCAGTCAGCTGGGTTGTGGTTGTGTGCTTGAAAGTTCCACCAGTCGCTCGGGATTCTCTCTCCATAGCCTTGTTTTCCCGACAAACTGCGACACCAAGAAGTTCTTGGCAAACCTGCGATCATTCGTCCTGTGATTCATTACCGTAGAACAGAAGAATGTAGTACTCGCCTAAAGCAGACAACAGTGGCAGCCATGAAATGTCTCCTGCGTATTGCCCTGAGAGCTAATGCAGATGTTCCTGATTCAGTCGGTGCTGTTGTTTTCTTTCACAACCACAAAGATTTTTGGAATTGAAAGCAGACTCACGAAACTACTGGTGAATCATGTTACAATGATCAAGCTTACAGAATGTATGTGCATTGGATGTAAAACAGCTCCAATTACGTTTTAGCTAACAGTCACTTGGTCCATCAACAGTAGCAATAATTAAATACAGTCTGTTTCTTATAGCCAGAATTTTTGCCACGTTTGAGTAAAACCTACAAATGGCTCAAAAAGATGTTTCTGTCTCTGTAAAGACTGTGTTAGATGCATTCTGTAAAGTTACAAAAGTGGTGTTAAATGTGAGCGAATGTGCGAACTGGCAACATTTAGGTTTTCTTTTAAAACGTATAATTTTGCTTTATTAAGCTTAAGCAGTTACTCTACTGTATTCTAGAGTAAATTTAATGTCCAATGAATTTTGGTCATGAATCTTAATCCTCTTGGCTGAGATTCAGCATTTTATGCTACATTTTGGGTGCAATTTTTGAACTATCCTGGTGTTACCCTGGCTATTTGAAGTCCATCCATCATCGTCCACTTTTAGATATCGTACTGTTTTATTTATTTTGTGTTATGTGTCAAAGTGAACGTCCTTTGTAGGCTTTTGTAATCCTCAATTTTATTTTCTCAATCACCCTACAACACAGTAAATCTAAAAGTCAGACCGCAGTAGAACCAGCTTCTGTATAATGTGTCATTTTGTTTTGCATCTGTTACATTTCACCTTCTGCTGAAAATGTCAACATTTCACCAGGATTTACTTCTACACCCAAGTGTTTAACTCTTTAGCCTTTGACCCACACCTCTGGCCTCCGACCTTTGCCTCTCTGGACATCAGTCAGTGTCAGTCTCTTACATTATGTCCGTCGGCCCTTTGCCTCTAAACCACTGCCATCTTTGAAATCTTCCCTCCTTCTACTTTGCTGCAGATAATTACATTCAATTAGAAACACATAGTTATATAAAACAGTTTGAACACAATTCAGAGAGACTATTTTGGATCTGTATCCGCCCAAACCTTTGAACTGTGTCCTCTGCTCCTTCAGGCTTCCTGCTAGCAGCACCATGAGGTCCGCCTGTCTCTCTCTACTCCTGGTCACCGCCTGCTGGGCTCTGCCATTTCGCCAGTCTGGCTTTCTAGACTTCATGATGGAGGATGAGCCAGGATCGGGCCGGCCCGATGTTCCAGATGTTACAGTGCACACCGGCCCTATTAGGCCTGAAGCACCAAGGTGTCCATTCAGATGCCAGTGTCACCTCCGTGTGATCCAGTGCTCTGACCTCGGTGAGAACAAATACCATACATAAATATGAATTGTTTTTTGGGTTTTGTTGTTTTAGCCTGTACACTAAGCTAGGATACACACATAAGACTGTATTTTCGTTTACTTTATGGCCTAATGACATAAACTTAGCTTTAGCTGCAAAAATACCCAAAAATAATGAGATAACAGTTAGCTAATACAGTTACCAGAACCAAACAATAACAACAAGAAGTTAGCCAAAAAGTATGAACAAAGAGAATTGACTGTACTTTAATCAATTTATTTGTCGGGAAATGTATTAGATTTATCAAATAAAACAAAACAAGTTACCAAAAATAGTAAAAATGGCTAAATCCTCACCAAAAATGAAAAAAGTCTAAATAAAATGCTAACAATGCTAATAAAACGCTAGCATTAAAAAAAAGATGCTGTTTAAATTTTAACGTAATGAAGTACTTCTAAATGTTTTTGTAGAATTTTAAAATGTGAATCCTGTTGTTCACAGGTTTAGGCACTGGGCTGGTTTTCAAAAATCTGCTGAGGTCACATGTGTGTCTGCCTGCAAAAGCCAAACTGTACCTTTATTGTGGTGAATGACACCACTGCTTTTTAGGTCATTGACTTTACAAGCCGGTCTGTCTCCACCACCCACCCAAACCCACAGGGTCACTGAAGGGGTGGATTATGTTACGCATTAGTGTGAAGTCCCCCAGAGAACATGACGCCAGCTTAGATAAGTTAAACACTCACAGATGTTCGGTGCTTTTTTTTTTTTTCACTTCCTGTCACAATTACACTATTTCCTCTCTGTGGGCAAAAAGTTTTCTCAAACAACAGCAGAGCTTAAATGACAGCTTGGAAAAGTCGTGAACAAATCACCTGGTCTGGTCCACAGCCTCTCCTCGCTCTCAGATGACAATTCATCAGCATTTTGTTCCAGCTCAGTCACAACAGTTTACTCTAGGTCATCCTCAGTGTCTGGACCTTATCATTTCTGTTTGTCCAATCTGAGAAGAGCCTGACTCATCTGTCAAACTTTGCCACGGAAGAGTCCTCGACCTCATCTCTTGTGGTATATCACACCAAAACTGCTTGGCTGCAGAGCGGTTGGTTTTGATTGTTTTCTGGCACGACTGTGTTTGTAAAAGGAGGGGCCCCTCAGCTCCAGTGAGATGAATGAGGGTGGGACAAAACTAGGCATATTGTCAGAGGACACTATTGTATTTTGGAGATTGTTTTATAACTATTTGGGCAATTAGCGAAACAGCATTTAGAGAAATATGGACTTAGAGAGTCAGAAAGGACAGAGAAGATTAAATCAGTACAGAAAACCTTGAAGAAAACATGACATTGACAGGAGGTAGATCAGCCTTATACAGAAAACAAATCTGGAGCTCATCAGACATATACAGTAAGTTTGAAGATGGAAGGGAGAGGCTTAGAACCTGAAGAACAGTCTTGGTAGTAAAATTAGAAGTTGCTGTGGAGATGCTTGTGGAAGTCCTGCCACAGAGAGGAGCAATGAAAAACATGACTTTATTTGTAGTGTTTTTCTTCCAACACACCACCAATAGAAGACCATTAGAAGTTCTAATTTTGTTGATTGCATCATCTCTAACAAAAGTCTATCTTAAATCACTCTGTTTAGATACTAAAGATCAGTGTCCGTGCCAGAACACTGCCAGGTTTGCAAACGTTAGAGAGATCTAACTGAGATGATTCAGAAAACCTGCTTTTAAACCTCACAGAGAAGTAGAGTATGTTCAGAAACACGTTGTTGAAAACTCTCCTCACTCTGTATATAAGGAAGGAGGACTTCAGCTGCAACAGATGGTCAGGTAGCTGGAAAATATGAGCAACACAAATGGGGTCATTTGGAGAGAGCAATGTTCCGGAAAGGAGCGGTCCCATGACATCAGCGCCGCGGACGGGCCCCCACCAGGAACATCATCAGCGGGAGCGCGAGCATGAGTAGCAACACTTTGACTAAAATGATGCCCATTGGTGGGATTCTCAACTTCTGCATCAGCTCTGATGGACCCCAAGCCTCCATCTGTTCTCCAGACCTGCTGGCACGGACTCAAACACACACCCGGACACACAGGCGTATACATTTTCATACACACACACACACGGTCAAGGCAGAAGGAGTCTACTCACCATCACGATTCTTTTCATCCTTTGTGGAAAGATGGGAGACACAGCAACTGGCAGGATGACAACAAAAAAAAAAACACTTTTTTACCAGAAGTTCTGACCACAAACTTTCTCTGTTGTGGCTGTGAAGTGAGCTGATGGTGTGTTTAGTCACATCCAGCCCACGTTTTTAATGACCAACAAAAAAACTACAATTTTTTTGTGTACAAAACTCTAAAGCAATCCTGTTTTTGGCAACAATCAGATCAGCAGTTCTGGTTGGGAAGAAAACACAAAATAGTCTCTAACAGTGTTTTTCAACCTTGGGTTCACGCCCCCAAATGGGTTCCCCTGAAATGTATTACACTTGGTAAAATAAAGTTGAAGTGCAGAGGTATCTGACAGAACTAGACCACAGAGGGAAATTAAAGCAAACGATGCTTTCACTGTCCTAGAAAAAGTGATCTATCTGTCACCCTTCCCACAGCCTGATCCTTCAATTTAGGCAAAATAACAATAATTAAGGGGAAAAAAAGTTGTGAAAACAACTGTATTCAATGGTGAGAAAAAGTGTGCTTCAATCTGCTCCAGCTCTGTTTGGTTTACCATTCCCACAAAGATGGAAAGAGATTAAAATAAGAATTTTCCAAATTGCAGCAGGAAATGATGTGAAACCTAAAATCTGGAGGAGAACAATGAAAAAGAATGCGCAGTGTGCACCGATGGAGCTATACAATACTGTACGTAATGTGGCGATCCAAAGATGGTGGTGACCACAAACAGCTGTGATGGTCTGTGGCTCGTCCACTGCTGAGTTGGGAAAAAGCTGACATGAAAGAAAACCTAGCTGGAAGCAGTGCTTGGGTGAGCTTGAAAGAAGTTGTCGCAAATTTTTTTGGAACAGAATCTGTCCACATTTACAGACGATGATGAATGTGAACGTCTTTGTTAAACAGTTTATCCTACGCTTCTTCCTCTGAAATCGAACCTGCACATTATGAATCCCAGTGTATTTTCTTGTGTCACCACTGACGGTTAGAATGTACACAATCTCTCCCAGCAGGCATCACTCACTTCGCAAAAATAGACGGGTTTTTTTTTTTTTCTTCAGTTTTTAGCCTGTGATGTGTGATGTACCTGAAGTCCAATCAAAACAAATTTTCTTTAGCTCAAACTCCAGCTCTGCAGCTGTTTTTTCTATTCCAAAGAAAATTTGTTCAAGGGTTCGTTTTTACCAAATCTGCACTAGAGTTCATCAAATAGTCATTTGCTCCATTTGGGTAAAAACTCACTCTGCAAAAAGTCCCTGTCATTGATACTTTATGTACCATGGAGTATACTCCATTTCCTGCCCCTTTAGGTTTGATACAGTCCTGCTTGACTCCAGTTTTCCAGTCTCTCAGCTGAATGCCCGTGACATAACACCGTAGTAAATCAAAAACTAAGCTTTGAATTAACAAAACCTTTCCTAGACTGCGGCCAGCGTGTCCGTTGTGTACTTTTGTAGCCATGCGTAGCTGCAGTACGACATTGGCCAAATATCACTACTCCCCACATGTTGTCTCTTCCCTTACATGGGTTTTCGTGATGATCCCACTTCCCGGTCTTTTTGTACCTTTTAAAAAGGTTTCATCGAAAACTGATGGATGGTGACCCGGTCTTGTCTCCTAAACCCTCGGAAGAAATCACATTTTCTTTTGTCATTGGTGGTGGGGCATTAGCGTTAGCTAATGCTAATCCACATAGGACACCTGACACCTCTCTTGGTGCAGCCCTCCACATAGGGCACCTGACACCTCTCTTGGTGCAGCCCTTCCTGTCAAACCCCAGTTGGAAACATCAGTTTATGGCTTAGGGATGATCAGTCTGCAGCTGAATTTCAATACAGGCCGACTGGTTGGAAGATGACGTCTCTACTCACTGGGCTAGAGCAGATGCTTAGCCAATGACGGCGACACATAAAAATAGACTGTGACAATTAGCTTTTAGTCTGCTACAACCGGGGAACAGACCGTAGACTCAACAAGGATGAAGTAGACGAGGTAAAAAAAACAAAAAAAAAAACATTTGTACCCATTTCCTGATGTGGTCAGATTGTGGTAAACTTTCCACCACCTGACCCAACACAGACTTGTCACCACCTTTTTTTTCCCTCATCATTCATCACACTGATGGAATTTCACAACATACCACATAGTGTAGCCCGACTTAAACTTAATTTTAAAAAGTATTCTTTGCTCCTCAGGTCTCAAGTCCGTCCCTGAGGACATTCCTGATGACACCACCCTGCTAGACCTGCAGAACAACAAGATCACAGAGATCAAGGAGAACGACTTCAAGAACCTCAAAGGGCTGCACGTAAGAGCCCTTCTCTTTCTCCCCTCCCTCCGTAGAAATGCGTGAACACTTCAGCGTGCATCGTTCATGATGTTATATAATGTCGTCTTATGTAAGCTCTGCTCTCACCGCAATGAAAGTGTACTAATCTCCAACTGGAAAAGGTCTTAAATGCAACCCGTTTGTTAGACATCTCTCTTGCCGTTGTTGCAGAGGCATGAAGACGATGTACAGGCATGTAGTGTAGCGTGTGTGTCTACGATGTGTGTGTCCCGAGATTACAACCATCTGTGATTAGGGTGTTGTCAAAACACTGTCAACCAATAAGCAATGGTGCTTGAAGCTCACGGCAACTTCCATCCGAGCGTCCTGCTCCTCCCCCACCTCCTGCTCTTTTACTCACCCACAGCCTTCCACCGTCACCAACACACTCTGAGACAGTCAATCCCAGCCACTCCACTTGTCCCCCCAGTCGCCAGGTGCGTGGAAACTTAACCCGCGAGCCGCCTCACAACCACACCTCCAAATTTCTGCAGCTTTCAGACCTGTAATAAATACGTCTGCCAGACAGCCGTAGCTGTTTCCACTGTACTGAAACTGGCCTCTGAGGAGTGGGAGGGTGGTGGTGGGCCG